TACAAAGAACTACATGCCAAGAAATTTGAAAACCTAGGTGAATTGGACAAATTTCTAGAAAAATATAATCTTCAACAACTCACTGAAGAAGAAGCAAAAAGCCTGAACAGACCAATAACAGCAGACAAAACTGAAGGAGTAATCAAGAAACTCCTGACACACAAAAGCCCTGGACCAGATGTTTTCACAGGAGAATTTTACAAAGCATTTGAGGAAGAGCTAACCCTCATCCTTCACAGATTATTCCAAACAATCCAAGAAGATGGAAGACTCCCAAACTCTTTTTATGAAGCCAGCATCATGCTCATCCCAAAACCAGATAAAGACATAACAAAGAAAGAAAAAGTCGGGCCAATATCACCAATGACATAGACACTAAAATCCTCAACAAAATATTAGCAAATCATATCCAGCAATGCATGAAAAAGATCATACACCATGACCCAGTGGGATTCATCCCAGGGATGCAAGGATGGTACAATATTCATGAATCAGTAAACATAATACATCACATAAACAAAATGAAAGACCAAGACCACATGATCAAATCAACAGATGCAGAAAAAGCATGTGATAAGGTACAGCATCCATTTATGATAAAAACACTTAGCAAAGTGGGAACAGAAGGAGCATTCCTCAAAATAATAAAGGCCATATGTCAGAGACACACAGCCAACATCAAACTTAGAGCTTTCCCACTAAGAGCAAGAATAAGACAAAGATGTCTGCTTTCACCATTCCTATTCAACATAGTATTGGAAATCCTAGCCACAGCAATCAGACAAGAAAAAGAAATAAAATGCATCCAAATCAGAAAGGAGGAAACAAAACTGTCATGGTTTGCAGATGACATGATAGTGTACACAGAAAATCCTAGAGACTCCACCAAAAAACTGCTCACAGTAATAAGTGAATTTGGCAAAAAGCGGATACAAAACCCCAGAATATCAGAAATCAAAGGCATTTTTGTACACCTACAATAAAATATCAGAAACAGAAATGAGAAAAAGTCTCATTTACAACAGCTACAAGAAAAATAAAGCACATAGGAATGAAACTAACCACGGAGGTAAAACACCTGTACTTGGAAAACTACACAACACTGAAGTAAGAAATTAAGGAAGACACAAACAAATGGAAGTATATAATGTGTTCATTGACTGGAAGAATTAACATCACCAAAATGTCCATGCTGCCCAAAGCAATTTATAGATTCAACACAATCCCTATTGAATTACCAATGACATACTTCACAGACATAGAACAAATGTTTCAAAAATTTATATGGAACCATAAATGACCCCAAATAGCTGCAGCAATTTTGCAAAAGGAGGACAAAGTAGGAGGGATCACAGTATCTTATATCAAACTGTATTATAAAGCAACTGTAACGAAAACAGTCTAGTACCGGCATAAGAACAGACACATAGATCAGTGGAACAGAACAGACAGCCCAGAAATAAACCCAAGTCTCTATGCTCAATTAATATTTCACAAAGGGGGCAGAAGCATAAAAATGGCCTCTTCAACAAATGGTGTTGGGAGATCTGGACAACTACATGCACAAAAATGAAACTTGATCACCAACTCACACAATACATGTAAAATAAACTCAAGGTGGATAAAAGACTTAAATGTAAGTCATTACACCATAAAAATCTTAGAGGAAAACATCGGCAGGAAAATTTCAGACATTCTATGTAGCAATATTTTCATTGATTTGTCCCCTAAAGCAAGGGACATAAAGGAAAGAAGAAACAAATGGAACCTCATCAAAATAAAAAGCTTCTGCATGGCCAAAGAAAACAGCATTAAAATGAAAAGAGAACCAACTATATGGGAAAACATATTTTCCAATGATATCTCAGACAAGGGTTTGATCTCCAAAATATACAAAGTACTCACATGCCTCCACTCCAGGAAGACAAAATCCCAATTAAAAAATGGGCAAGGGGACTTCCGGCAAAGATGGAGGCATAGGTAGACACACTGTGCATCCTTGCACAACCAAGATAGGGACCAACAACAATTTAGAAACAGAATAACAACCAGAACTGACAGAAAATTGAACTGTATGTAAGTTGGACAACCAAGAAGTTAAATTAGACACGTTCATCAAGACCGGTAGGAGGGGTGGAGTGGGGGAGCCGGGCATGGGTCTTAGTGCAGAGAGCAGAGAGTGTCGGGACCGGGACCAGGGGTATCAGGCATCCAGGGTATGCAAGACCACAGCGGGTGGGCCCTGAGTGTATAAGTGGCAGCTGGCAGACCCTGGGTAAGGGGTGGCAACCGGCAGACACAGCAAGGGGCGATTGTGAAGCAAGGCCCTGTACCCAACCCAGGATCTCAGTGCTGGGAAACAGAGCCTTGGGGCACTGACTGAAAACACCTCTGGGGGTTGAGGCACAGGCAGAGACTCCCAGCCTCACAGGAGAGGTTATTGCAAAGTTCCACAGCATGCACAAGCCCACCCACATGGGAACTGGCACCACAGGGGCCCAGTTTGCTTGGGATGAAGCGGCAGAAGGGACTGAGGTCTGGCAGGGAGCGGAGCAAGTGCCATTCTTCCCTCTCAGACCCTGCCCCCACATACAGCATCACAACCCAGTGACTGGGGTGCCCCACTCTGGTGAACACCTAAGGCTCCCCCCACTCATATGTACCAGGCACTACCAGACCAAAAAAAAAAAGAAAAGATGGCTCAAATAGAACTGAAACCACATATCCAGTACTTTTAAGCGATGGAGAGACAGCCAACCTATCAGATGCACACTTCAAAACACTGGTAATCAGGATGCTCACAGAATTGGTTGAATTTGGTCACAAATTAGATGAACAAATGAAGGCTACAATAAGTGAAATGAAAAATTCACAGGGAACCAATAGTGGTGGAAAGAAAGCTGGGTCTCACATCAATGGAGTGGACCAGAAAGAAGAAAAAAACATACAACCAAAAAAGAATGAAGAAATAAGAATTCAAAAAAATGAGGAGAGTCTTAGGAACCTCCAGGACATCTTGAAACGTTCTAACGTCCGAATTATAGGGGTGCCAGAAGGAGAAGAGGAAGAGCAACAAGTGGAAAAGTTATTTAAACAAATAATAAAGGAGAACTTCCCCATTCTGGCAAAGGAAATAGACGTCCAGAAAGCTCAGAGAGTCCCAAACAAGTTGGACCCAAGAAGGAACACACCAAGGCACATCATAATTACATTAGCCAAGGTAAAAATGAAGGAGAGAATCCTAGAAGCAGCAAGAGAGAAGGAGACAGTCACCTACAAAGGAGTTCCCATCAGACTGTCAGCTGATTTCTCAAAAGAGACCTTGCAGGCAAGAAGGGGCTGGAAAGAAGTATTCCAAGTCATGAAAGGCAAGGACCTATATCCCAGATTGCTCTATCCAGCTCTATCCGTTCATTTAGAACGGAAGGGCAGATAAAGTGCTTCTCAGATAAGGTCAAGTGAAAGGAGTTCATCATCACCAAGCCCTTATTATATGAAATGTTAAAGGGACTTATCTAAGAAAAAGAAGATAAAAAACATGTATAGTAAAATGACAGCAAACTCACAATTATTAACAACCACACCTAAAACAAAAGCAAAAACAAACTAAGCAAACAACTAGAATAGGAATAGAACCACAGAAATGGAGGTCATATGGAGGGTTAGCAACAGGGGAGTGGGAGGAGGAGAGAGGGGGAAAAGATACAGAGAATAAGCAGCATAGACAATAGGTAGAAAATAGACAGGGGAGGGCAAGAATAGCATGGGAAATGTGGAAGCTAAAGAACTTATGACACATGAACTAAAGGGGGGGAACATGGGTGGGAGAGAGTGTGCTGGGTGGAGGGGAATGAAGGGTGGGGTAATGGGACAACTGTAATAGTATAATCAATAAAATATATTAAAAAAATGGGCAAAAGACTTGAACAGTCAGTTCTCCAAGGAGGACATACAAAGTGCCTTGAGGAATATGAAAAGATGCTCAGCATCACTAGCCATCAGAGAGATGCAAATTAAAACCACAATGGGATACCACTTCACACCAGTCACAGTGGCCATCATAAACAAATCAACAAGCAACACGTGTTGGAGAGGATGTGGAGCAAAGAGAACCCTAGTGCACTGTTGGTGGGAACACAGACTAGCACAGCCACTGTAGAAAACACTTTGGAATTTCCTCAGAAAACTAAAAATGGAACTGCCTTTCAACCCAGGAATTCCACTGCTGGGATTATACCCTAAGAATCCTGAAACACCACTTCAAAAGAACCTATGCACCCCAATGTTCACAGCAGCACAATTTACAATAGCCAGGTGCTGGTAGCAACCTAAGTACCCATCAGTAAATGAATGGATCAAAAAACTGTGGCACATGTACACAATAGAATACTACGCAGCAGAGAGAAAGAAGGAGCCTCAACCCTTTGCAACAACATGAATGGAACTGGAAAACATTACGCTAAGTGAAATAAGCCAGGTGGTAGGGGAGAAATACCATATGATCTAAGCTTTAACTGGAATCTAATAAACAAAACAAGCAAGCAAGCAAAATATAACCAGGGAAAGTGAAATTAAGAACAATCTGATAGTAACGAGATGGTAGGTGGGAGGGTATAATGCGGGGAAGAGGGGAAGGGTTTTCAGGAACAACTATAAAGGATACATGGACAAAATAAGGGGGTCTGGAAGCAGGGGAGGGAGGTGAGTTTGGCTGGGGTTGTGGGGGAGTGGTGGGGTGTAAACGCAGATAACTGTAATTGAACAACAATAAAATAATATTAAAAAAATTAAGATCTTAGTGTTTTTTGTGTACCAATTGACACTTTAGGGTAAGAAGAGATTAAGTGCTTGCTTCCCTCTATTTGTGTGCTGAGACAGGTGTATACCAATTAAGCCTTAATTTACAGTCTAGTGTTCATTCTATTCCAATATACACTCTATACTCCTGAAATCAGTGGCTTCACCAAGAACAACCTTTCCATGATATGTTGGTATCTCACCTATAACTCTGCTCAGCCCGTCAGAAGAAATGTTTAGAAGAATCTTCTCTATCAGCTTTGATCCCACGTGGATGCAAACCTTGTGGATTCCATCAACTATGGTCATTGAAGCTGGCCTACAAGAGTATATAGCACATGACCGTCAAAAGATTTTCCCATTTTAAAAATGCATAAATGCAATATAATTTCAAAATGCACTGGGTTTTTATGCAGGGTTAATTTTAATTTCTAAAACAATGTTTCAGAATATCCTAAAAATAAGAGAAGGGATTTTTAAAAAAGAGTTTCAAATTATAAAGTAATAAATTAGATTTATTTCACACTCATTTTAATATTTCAGATTGTACTATAAGAATACACTATTTTATGCTTTGTGTAAATTATCTTTTGAAATAAAATAAAGATGATAACCATATATTTCACAATCACAACTTCAAGTTATTTTTTTCCAATGGACTCTTTGGTATCAAAAACATAGTCTTTGGCATGGCACTGAATACAGAAGCAGATAAATAATTTTAAGCACATCATGCAATGGTGTACTATGTCGTGCTAAAAAGAATGAGGAAGATTTAAAAGTGCTGTTATGGAAGGCACAACATGATATAATCTAAGGAACAAACTAGGAATAGTTGAATAGTATTACTCTGTCTATATAATTTTAGAATAAAAGGATTTTAAAGAAAGGATTATAAATATGCTTGTATAAGCATAATAAATTACTGAGAATATGCAAAAACTTCTAACAAGCATGGAAGTAACACTGATGGTAGAGGGGGTGGATAGAGAAGACCTTTACTGTTAGTTTTAATACTTCCTCTATAGTTTGCATTTTTACCACAGCATGTCTTAACTTTAAAAAAAATAATTAATTAAAAAAATGTTTAATAAATTAATTTTTAAAAATAAATCAAGAACATAATTTAGAAACGGGTTCATGAATATAGGGAAATTTAGTGTAACAGACAAAACAATGCTGATTTTCCCTCCAAAAATCTACTGCGCCCTTTACCCAGGTCCTTTCCTCTTCTTCACTCTACAGTCTTGCCCTAGGCTATCTCACTTACTCCATTCTTTATTTTTTTAAAAATTATTTATACACACACACACACACACACACTGAATCTTGGCTTATGAATGTCAAGATTATGGATATACCAGCCATATATATATATTCAGTATAGATATATTCAGTATCTAATATGTACAAGAAGCTATGCTAAGCAGCGGATACTATAAAATAAAAACAGCAAAACGGAATTGATGTTGTCAAGCAGGCAATCTAAAATGGAACCTGGAGACCTCCAAAAAGCTGAGCTAACACAGCCCCTCTATGTGAAACTGAACTTTTGAACTGGACTAAAGCACAAAACAACTCTATCATGATACAATTCCTAGAACTGGTCCTGTATTGCTAAACTATTAAGAAATAAAATAAGTGGAACCTAATCAACAAAACAAACAAGAAAGCAAATTATCCAGAGACAGTAAAATGAAGAACAAATTGACAGTAACCAGAGGGGTGGGAGAGGATAAAGGGGGGGGGGGAAGGGGGAGGGTTTTTCAGGAACTGTATAAAGGACACATGGACACCACCAAAGGGAGGTAGGATCAAGGGTGGGAGGTGGGGATGGCTGGGGTAGGGCAGGGGGAGTGATAGGGGGAAATGCAGACAACTGTACTTGAACAACAATTAAAAAAAGAAAAAAAATTTTCGCCTAGCAAAAGACATAACCAATTAATCATATAGCATAGTCTGCTTGCCAGTACCAGTCACAGCTCTTTCAAAACAATTTGTGGAATTCCTTTAGAGGCCTGCTTTTTCTGTCTTTATGAACTCTGTCCCTTTCTTTCCCTTCTAGAACACTTTTGGTTTTCTACCCCAATATGTGTCTACAAAACTGCAATTCCTAAAAGTCCCCCAAGCAAACCTTTTGTTTGCCTGTTCTTGGTGAAAACTGATTGACAGCATATACTAATGAACAAGATAGATCTGGTTCCTTCACTTTAGGATCTTAAGCATTTAGTGAGATAAAAAGATAATAAACTTTTTGACAATGATGCCAGATTGTTCAATTATTCCATAATAGTCTTTTCAACAAATAATGCTGAGACAACTTAATATTCCCATGCAAAAGAATTAAGTTGGATTCCTTCCTTATACCATACACAAAAATTAAAAATAAATCACAGACCTATATGTAAGAGTTAAAACTATACAATTCTTAGAAGAAAATATAGGAGTAAATCCCTATGATCTTGGCTATAAATGATACATTTTTTAGATATGCCAACCAAAAGCAAAAGAAAAACAGATAATAAGTGTTGGCAAGGATGTGAAGAAACTGCAACCCTCATACATTGCTGATGAGAAGGTAAAATTGTGCAGCAGTTTTGAAAAGTTTGGCAGTTTCTCAAAAGGTAAACATAGAGTTACCACATGTCCTAGCAATTCTACTTTTGAGTGCATACCCAAGAGAAATGAAAACATATATCCACGCAATAATTTGTACATGAATGGTCACATCAGTGTTATTTATAATAGCCAAAAAGTGGGAACAAGCCAAAAGCTGAGTTGGGTGGAAGAAGGAATGAGAAGTGACTGCTGAAGGGGCTTTTGGGGGCAGGGGTGATTAAAATGTCCAAAATAGCACTCATTGCTACTTTGTAAAGGCATGTAATTTATAAGTTAAAAAGAAAAAGAAAAAGATTACCCAAGAATATGAACACTTATTATTTGAAAAACAATGTGTTTTTTACTGAATTGGTTAGCCATTTCACCATAGCACATTTGGGATCCTTATTTTTCTAATGTGAATTTGGGAAAATTGAAGTACAGAAAAGTAAAACACCTTAGTAGCTTCCACAACTCAAAGATTAGATCATACAATACTTTTAACTTTTAAATTCCAAATATTTGTTAACGTGGGGGACTGAGTTTCTGCATTTAGATCTTGGTTGAAAGCGTAAACCAAGTAAAAATTTTCTTCAGTATAGCTTCTTCAAGACAATAAACTCTCCCAATTACCACTTTTAAAAATCCTGTTATGATTTTAATCACTCAGGGGAAATTTTGTACTCTTGTATTAGCTCTAATTAGTTCTCATTAGAAAGTAAGAGTTGATATATGTAATTTTTTGGTCATTTCCAGTCCTATAAAAATAAATATTTTCCATCTGATTGGCTTGCTTAGTTGCCTTACCTATAGTATATTTTCTTCATAGTACATGGCAAGCAGCTAAAACACTGTTTGTAGATCTTGTTCTCATCTGTTTCTAGTTCCAATCCACATTTTGCACAGCCAGTATACGTAATGTTGGGAAGAGAAGAGAAAATGCTCTTCAGAGAACTATGAGCATTTATAACTATTTTCTGATCTGCTATAATATTAAACACTAGTTCTAAAATCTGGGCTTTGATTAGAATCACTCCTACAAAAGACAAAAATATTATAAATTATAGGACCAAAATTATAATTTACAAACATGGCTAATTATGTACTTAATTTACAGTTTCTTATTGTGAAGAATACACCCAAGATCTTGTTCTTGGTCTTCTCTTTTTCACTCTTCCTAAATAATCTCACTCACTTATGGCTTCATTATTGACCCTAGAATGTAAAGGGTGGTTTGCCAGCAATTTAGAGTAAAGATTTATTTGGCTAATTTGGCTGAAGGGGTGATATTTTCTTTCTCCTTCTGTCGTCAGGAATCATACAAAATATGTTTAATTCTTTTGGCAGAAATCCCTTCTAACACTTGAAAACTAGCTAACATCTCCTTTCTCCTTGTCCTCTCTTCTGTCTTTTTTAAATTATTATTATTGATTACAGAAAGAGAGACAGAGAAGGAGAGAGACAAAGAGAGAGACATCAATTTGTTGTTCCACTTAATTACTCATTCATTGGTTGATTCTTGTATGTGCCCTGACCTGGGATCAAACCGGCAACCTTGGTGTAGGGGATGATGCTCTAACCAACTGAGCTTCCCAGCCAGGGCCCCTTCTGTCTTTTTAATTGATCATCATCAAAAGCCAAATACGAGGTAAGTTATCCTTCTATTCTCAATTTTGTCTAAAAATCATATACCATTAGCTCAACCTCTTTTTAAACTTTCTTTTTCAATTTCCTGCCCATCATCACCACACGCTGGGTGTTGATGATACAGCCACACGAGCACTGAGAGTTCTCATTTACTAAATGTGTGACTCACCAGGAACCTCAAGCATGCTCATTCTCTACTCACTGGCTCATGCACTCACCTGTTAAAAAAAGAAAAGAAAGAAAAACTGAGTATCTATTATCTGCCAGACATTCTTTTTTCTAATTCATCTTTGCCTTATTGTATACTAGTGAGATCTATGAGTTTATTTGAGCATTTTCCTCTCTTCCTCTCCATATTCAGTTTAAAGCCCTTTAAAGTTTTTTTAAAGCCTTTATTTAAGCATTTGTTCTTTATCCTTCTAGCAGGCAGTACACTCCAGGTCAAGAGCTCATCACTCTGGTGTCCTATTCTCTTTTCTGGTTATCTCTTTGAGAGTCCCATTAATGGTGATTTCCTATTTCTAAGTCCTTCAGTTTCCTTTAGTCTTTTAGTGCCTAAATATTGTTTCATCATGTCTGCCAATCATGTCATATATCCCATGTCATATGAATTACAAGAGTGTATAGTGGTCAGCATATCTAATAAACTATAGCAGACAGACTCTCCTTCATGACTTTCCACATACATGTTGAATCATTAAGAAACTACTTAATGAGACTTCTGGCAAGATGGAGGCATAAGTGGACACACCATACCACCACGCACAATCAAGACTAGAGCAACAACAATTTAGAGGCAGAATAACACCCAGAACTGATAGAGAATTTATCTGAATGGAAGTCGGACAGCCAAGATGTTGGAGTAGACCCGTTCATCCAGACCAGTAGGAGGGGCAGAGACGAACAGCCGGGCGCGGGTCGCGGCGCGTGAACAGAGAGAACTGGGTGCATAAGACAACCAGGAGCACGTAAGGCATCTGGGGCGCACAAGATCACAGCGCGTGGACCCTGACTACGCAAGCGGCAGCTGGCGGACCAAGTGAGGTGGCGAATGTGGAGCAGGGCAGAGTGGGCAACCCAGGGTCCCAGAGAAGGGACTGAGGTCCCAGGAGAACGGAGCTACCGCCATCGTTCCCTCCCACCCTCACCCCCGCCCCTGCCCCCGCATACAACATTATAATCTAGCGACTGGGGTGCCCAGCCCTGGGGAACACCTAAGACTCTGCCCCTCACCGTAACAGGAGTGACCAGACCAAAAATAAAAGAGAGAGAGAGAGAGAGACATGTCTCAAACAGAAGAACAGATCAATGCCCCAGGACTCATCCTTTTGAGCGACCAAGAGATAGCTAATCTCTCAGATGCACAGTTCAAAACACTGGTGATCAGGAAGCTCACAGAATTGGTTGATTTGGGGTGCAAATTAGATGGAAAAATGCAGGTTACCATAAAAGAGATGAAGGAAGATGCACGGAGAACCAATAGTGATGGGAAAAAAACTGGGACTCAAAACAATAGGGTGGACCAGAAGGAAGAAAAAAACAACCAAACAGGAAAGAATGAAGAAATAAGAATTCAAAAAAAATGAGGAGAAGCTTAGGAACCTCCATGACATCTTTAAACGTTCCAACATCCGAATTATAGGGGTACCAGAAGGGGAAGAGGAAAAGCAACAGATTGAGCATGTATTTGAACAAATAATAAAGGAGAACTTCCCCATTCTGGCAAAGGAAATAGAACTTCCAGGAAATCCAGGAAGCTCAGAGAGTCCCAAAAAAGTTGGACCCAAGGAGGAACACACCAAGGCACATCATAATTACATTAGCCAAGGTAAAAAATGAAGGAGAGAATCATAGAAGCAGCAAGAGATAAGGGGATAGTCACCTACAAAGGAGTTCCCATCAGACTGTCAGCTCATTTCTCAAAAGAGACCTTACAGGCAAGAAGGGGCTGTAAAGAAGTATTCCAAGTCATGAAAGGCAAGGACCTACATCCCAGATTGCTCTATCCAGCAAAGCTTTCACTTAGAATGGTAGGACAGATAAAGTGCTTCTCAGATAAGGTCAAGTTAAAGGAGTTCATCATCACCGAGCCCTTATTATATGAAATGTTAAAGGGACTTACCTAAGAAGAGAAGATAAAGAAAAAACATGTATAGTAAAAGGACAGCAAACTCACAATTATTAACAACCACACCTAAAGCAAAAACAAAAGAAACTAAGCACACAACTAGAACAGGAACAGAACCACAGAAATGGAGATCACATGGAGGGTTAACAACAGGGGAGTGGGAGGAGGCAAAAGGGGGAAAAGGTTCAGAGAATAAGTAGCATAGATTATAGGTTGAAAATAGATAGGGGGAGGGTAAGAATAGTATGGGAAATGTAGAAGCTAAAGAACTTATAAGTATGACACATGGACATGACTAAAGGGGGGGAGTGTGGGTGGGAGAGGGTGTACAGGGTGGAGGGGAGTTAAGGGGGAAAATGGGACAACTGCAACAGCATAATCAATAAAATATATTAAAAAAATAAAAATAAAAAGTAATGACATATAAAAAAAGAAACTACTTAATGAAAGAATTTAGTAATCTTAGAAGAGTGTTAATAACTCCTCTAACATTTTGTAAATTTAGACACCTCTTTTAGAAATGTAAAGCTCATAATATATGAAGACTCTGCTTTCAAGGGGATTACAGCCTGCTGGGCACTGATATTCTGCTGATGACAGGATGAGGTGCTGAGTGAGCATCTTCATTTGTTTACAAGGAGTCAGGAACAACTTATCACTCTCTGGCTTTTGTTAAGCTTTGTTAAAAGAGCAAAACTTCTTAGAAAATTCTGCCATGTTGATCTCCCTTTCTCTTTCCTTTTATTTAACTATGAAATGGGCTAGGAAAAACTTCCTATACTTCCATGTGCTCTGATAGAAACTATGATAGACATAAACAATGACAGAAACTATGAAGTCAGCCCTGATAGTTGAAAATAAAGAAAATGAAAATGACTCAAAGGTCCTCTTTGAACACAACCTACTAGAGACTGATTGTTAACAGTGCAAAGGTTTTGTAAGGTTTCCCAATAGGGAGCACAGCTCCAGGGTTTCCAAGAATACTCCCAATTACCAGTCTTATCCCCCAAATTGGTGAGACTCTATATCCTTGGTACCATTAATCATCAGAGCTGTGACCACTTATTTTGTTGATATTCTTTTTATTTTAAAATCTAATTCTAGGTCATCAGCCCCAGAAGGTAACCATTTTATGTAAGCAGTAGATAAGAGAGTTTACTTCTCCATGACACCAAATTGAATGGAGTTCCTCCACTGCCTATGGCATCCTTCTTACAGTGATCAGCTCCATAAGTTTGAGGGGACTTAGGAGATGGAGAGACAGGAGGGCCACACAAATATAAAACTGTTTTAGGAACTAATGTGACACTACTACATTACCCAAGATTTTACCAGCTTGTATAAATCTAGAGTTTTCCATGGCCACATGCAACTTACTTCCATTTTTGAAAGCTGTATAAAAGTGTAACAGTATACAAATTGAAAATTTTCTATTATTTGTAATCTTCTAGAAATATTACTTTTAAATTAACTATTATTATTAATAAACATTTCAATGCATAAATGAGTATATGGAGTTCTTCTCTGAGAATAAATCTATGTATTCCATTAAAAGTTGGGTTTTTTGAGAGGTATAATTATCTTTGTTTTCTAAGAAGAAAGCACTCTCTTTAGCTTAGTTTTATGATGCTAATCATATCTTGTAAAATATATATACATGCCTATGTGGATTAACACAACCTGTAAAATTCTAATCTGGTATTTGGCCAATGTAGTATAAGAAACTAGATTCACGCTCCCACCTTGTGACACAAAAAAACCCACAAATATTTGGTCTTTGTCCCTAGTCCTGGACTCCAAAATCCCTTGGAATCTCCAGAGTGATGAGTATCTTTTGTATGCTATTGAGATGACTGGTGACTAGTGGCCCATAGGTAGCTTCAGGATGGAGACTAGTCACCAGAAAAACCAAGGAATGATTAGAGGGTTGAAATTTTCAGCTCTACCCTACAAACTCTGAAAGTTTCAGTTAATCACCAATGGTCAATGATTTAATCAACTGTGCCTATAGAATGAATCCTTGATTAAAAACCTTAAATAACAGAGTTCAGGGAGCACATAAGGGTGCTGGGAGACTGGTGCAACTGAAGAGATACATCTGTGCATGGAGAGGAAGCTCCATGTCCCTTCACCCGTAACTTGCCCTGTGCATCTCTTCTATTTGGCCTTTCCTGAGTTGTATTCTTTATAATAAACAGCTAAGTGTAAATAAAAAGTGTTCCTGAAGTCTATGAGCAGGTCTAGTAAATTACTGAAGCTGA